TTAGGTAAGAAAGAACCTCCATCAATATTGGAAAGGAGCGATAACAGGTACTGGGCTTGAGAAGAAAATAATGACATAATCAAGATGCTGACGTTCCACACTACTTCAAAGAAAAAGGTTAGGAAGGAACCTCCATCAATATTGGAAAGAGCGATAACAGGTACTGGGCTTGAGAAGAGAAAATAGTGACATAATCAAGATGACGTTCCACACTACTTCAAAGAAAAGGTTAGGAAGGAACCTCCCACCAATATTGGAAAGAGCGATAACAGGTACTGGGCTTGAGAAGAAAAATAGTGACATAATCAAGATGCTGACGTTCCATAATCAAGATGACTTCAAAGAAAAGGTTAGGAAGGAACCTCCCATCAATATTGGAAAGAGCGATAACAGGTACTGGGCTTGAGAAAAAGAAAATAGTGACATAATCAAGATGCTGACGTTCCAATAATACTTCAAAAGAAAAGGTTAGAAGGCACCTCCCATCAATATTGGAAAGAGCGATAACAGGTACTGGGCTTGAGAAAAGAAAATAGTGACATAATCAAGATGACGTTCCACACTACTTCAAAGAAAAGGTTAGGAAGGTTCCCACCAATATTGGAAAGTTTAAAGAGCGATAACAGGTACTGGGCCATAATCAAGATGACGTTCCACACTACTAAAGAAAAGTTTAGGAAGGAACCTCCCATCAATATTGGAAAGAGCGATAACAGGTACTGGGCTTGAGAAGAAAATAGTGACATAATCAAGATGATGACGTTCCACACTACTTCAAAGAAAAGTTTAGGAAGGAACCTCCCATCAATACTTGGAAAAGAGCGATAACAGGTACTGGGCCAGAAGAGAAAATAGTGACATAATCAAGATGCTGACGTTCCACACTACTTCAAAGAAAAAGGTTCAAGATGACGTTCCACACTACTTCAAAAGAAGGAACCTCCCATCAATACTGGAAAGAGCGATAACAGGTACTGGGCTTGAGAAGAGAAAATAATGACATAATCAAGATGCTGACGTTCCACACTACTTTAAAGAAAAGGTTAGGAAGGAACCTCCCATCAATACTGGAAAGAGCGATAACAGGTACTGGGCTTGAGAAGAGAAAATAGTGACATAATCAAGATGCTGACGTTCCACACTACTTCAAAGAAAAGGTTAGGAAGGAACTCCCATCAATATTGGAAAGAGCGATAACAGGTACTGGGCTTGAGAAGAGAAAATAGTGACATAATCAAGATGACGTTCCACACTACTTCAAAGAAAAGGTTAGGAAGGAACCTCCCACCAATATTGGAAAGAGCGATAACAGGTACTGGGCTTGAGAAGAGAAAATAGTGACATAATCAAGATGCTGACGTTCCACACTACTTCAAAGAAAAGGTTAGGAAGGCACCTCCCATCAATATTGGAAAGAGCGATAACAGGTACTGGGCTTGAGAAAAGAAAATAGTGACATAATCAAGATGACGTTCCACACTACTTCAAAGAAAAGGTTAGGAAGGAACCTCCCATCAATATTGGAAAGAGCGATAACAGGTACTGGGCTTGAGAAAAGAAAATAGTGACATAATCAAGATGCTGACGTTCCACACTAATTCAAAGAAAAGTTTAGGAAGGAACCTCCCACCAATATTGGAAAGAGCGATAACAGGCACTGGGCTTGAGAAGAGAAAATAGTGACATAATCAAGATGATGACGTTCCACACTACTTCAAAGAAAAGGTTAGGAAGGAACAAGATGCTCCCACCAATTATTATTGGAAAGAGCGATAACAGCTACTGGGCTTGAGAAGAGAAAATAGTGACATAATCAAGATGACGTTCCACACTACTTCAAAGAAAAGGTTAGGAAGGAACCTCCCATCAATATTGGAAAGAGCGATAACAGGTACTGGGCTTGAGAAGAGAAAATAGTGACATAATCAAGATGACGTTCCACACTACTTCAAAGAAAAGTTTAGGAAGGAACCTCCCATCAATATTGGAAAGAGCGATAACAGGTACTGGGCTTGAGAAGAGAAAATAGTGACATAATCAAGATGCTGACGTTCCACACTACTTCAAAGAAAAGGTTAGGAAGGAACCTCCCATCAATATTGGAAAGAGCGATAACAGGTACTGGGCTTGAGAAGAGAAAATAGTGACATAATCAAGATGACGTTCCACACTACTTCAAAGAAAAGGTTAGGAAGGAACCTCCCACCAATATTGGAAAGAGCGATAACAGGTACTGGGCTTGAGAAGAGAAAAATAGTGACATAATCAAAGATGACGTTCCACACTACTTCAAAGAAAAAAGGTTAGGAAGGAACCTCCCACCAATATTGGAAAGAGCGATAACAGGTACTGGGCTTGAGAAGAGAAAAATAGTGACATAATCAAGATGACGTTCCACACTACTCCATCAAAGAAAAGGTTAGGAAGGAACCTCCCACCAATATTGGAAAGAGCGATAACAGGTACTGGGCTTGAGAAGAGAAAATAGTGACATAATCAAGATGACGTTCCACACTACTTCAAAGAAAATGTTAGGAAGGAACCTCCCACCAAGATTGGAAAGAGCGATAACAGGTACTGGGCTTGAGAGAAAATAGTGACATAATCAAGATGCTGACGTTCCACACTACTTCAAAGAAAAGGTTAGGAAGGAACCTCCCACCAATATTGGAAAGAGCGATAACAGGTACTGGGCTTGAGAAGAGAAAAAATAATGACATAATCAAGATGCTGACGTTCCACACTACTTCAAAGAAAAGGTTAGAAGGAACCTCCCATCAATATTGGAAAAGAGCGATAACAGGTACTGGGCTTGAGAAGAGAAAATAGTGACATAATCAAGATGCTGACGTTCCACTACTTCAAAGAAAAGGTTAGGAAGGAACCTCCCATCAATATTGGAAAGAGCGATAACAGGTACTGGGCTTGAGAAGAGAAAAATAGTGACATAATCAAGATGCTGACGTTCCACACTACTTCAAAGAAAAGTTTAGGAAGGAACCTCCCATCAATATTGGAAAGAGCGATAACTGGTACTGGGCTTGAGAAGAGAAAATAGTGACATAATCAAGATGACGTTCCACACTACTTCAAAGAAAAGGTAGGTTAGGGCACCTCCCATCAATATTGGAAAGAGCGATAACAGGTACTGGGCTTGAGAAAAGAAAATAGTGACATAATCAAGATGACGTTCCACACTACTTCAAAGAAAAGTTTAGGAAGGAACACCTCCCATCAATATTGGAAAGAGCGATAACAGGCACTGGGCTTGAGAAGAGAAAATAGTGACATAATCAAGATGCTGACGTTCCACACTACTTCAAAGAAAAGTTTAGGAAGGAACCTCCCACCAATATTTGAAAGAGCGATAACAGGTACTGGGCTTGAGAAGAGAAAATAGTGACATAATCAAGATGACGTTCCACACTACTTCAAAGAAAAGGTTAGGAAGGAACCTCCCACCAATATTGGAAAGAGCGATAACAGGTACTGGGCTTCAGAAGAGAAAATAGTGACATAATCAAGATGACGTTCCACACTACTTCAAAGAAAAGGTTAGGAAGGAACCTCCCACCAATATTGGAAAGAGCGATAACAGGTACTGGGCTTGAGAAGAGAAAATAGTGACATAATCAAGATGATGACGTTCCACACTACTTCAAAAGAAAAAGTTTAGGAAGGAACCTCCCATCAATATTGGAAAGAGCGATAACAGGTACTGGGCTTGAGAAGAGAAAATAGTGACATAATCAAGATGATGACGTATCACACTACTTCAAAGAAAAGTTTAGGAAGGAACCTCCCATCAATACTGGAAAGAGCGATAACAGGTACTGGGCTTGAGAAGAGAAAATAGTGACATAATCAAGATAACGTTCCACACTACTTCAAAGAAAAGGTTAGGAAGGAACCTCCCACCAATATTGGAAAGAGCGATAACAGGTACTGGGCTTGAGAAGAAAAATAGTGACATAATCAAGATGCTGACGTTCCACACTACTTCAAAGAAAAAGGTTAGGAAGAAACCTCCCACCAATATTGGAAAAAGAGCGATAACAGGTACTGGACTTCAGAAGAGAAAAAGTGACATAATCAAGATGACGTTCCACACTACTTCAAAGAAAAGGTCAGGAAGAACCAATATTGGAACCTCCATATAACAGGTACTGGACTAAAGAAAATAGTGACATAATCAAGATGACGTTCCACACTACTTCAAAGAAAAGGTTAGGAAGGAACCTCCCACCAATATTGGAAAGAGCGATAACAGGTATTGGGCTTGAGAAGAGAAAATAGTGACATAATCAAGATGACGCTCCACACTACTTCAAAGAAAAGGTTCGGAAGGCACCTCGCATCAATACTGGAAAGAGCGATAACAGCTACTAGACTAGTGAAAGATATTTTCCTGGAAAATTTTTTAAGAGAAACATTTTATAAATTTCAATCTACGTTAATAACGGCTGGCCGGTTAATAAACTTCAAATATTGCCTTACATGGAAAAAGCTAATATCATTTCCATTAGCAATTAGCTGTTAATTGCTTAACTGAAACACGGGGGAAATATTGGTTGTGAGTTGTCAAGTAAACTTATTTTTTTTTAATATTACTTGATAATTCTGAACCATTTGCCAATGAGTTCATTAGTACAGTGTGGCTAATATAAAACTGCTTCCAGAAAATTGATTTAACCTGCCTGGTGATGGAAATATTTGTATATTTACAAACCTATGTTTTACACATCAAAATTCTCATAATATATATATATATATATATATATATATATATATATATATGCACACCAAAATTTTCATAATTTATATATATATATATATATATATATATATATATATATATATATCATCTGAACATTTTCTTTTTTTGCGATTTTTCAGTCGGTATATTGTTTTCACCAATCTTAGAAACGTGTTTTGGACTTCAGTATTGATCAGTCACAACAGTGGAAAATACTCCAACCAGCAGGAAACCCTATCAATTTATGCATCTATCTATCTATCTATCTATCTATCTATCTATCTATCTATATATATATATATATATTTATCTATCTATCTATCATGTGTGTGTGTGTGTGTGTGTGTGTGTGTGTGTGTGTGTGTGTGTGTGTGTGTGAAAATATATAGAAAATAGGAAAGAACTCGTTAGGTAAATAATCCAAAGTTCTTTAGTATATTTGTTATTATTTTTAAAAAATAGTGCTCGATACAAAAATACTAAAGAACTTTGGATTATTTACCTAACGAGTTCTTTCCTATTTTCTATATATTTTCACATATATTGGCTCCCGAATTAAGGTCGAGCCCTCTGAACCGTTATTTTTAAAAATAACTTCTTCATATATATATATATATATATATATATATATATATATATATATATATATATATATATATATATAGCAGCTATATTCATTTAACAAATCTTCATAATAGAGAAATATCGCATTTTAGAAACCGGATCGCATGTTTCATTTTAAATGCTACTTCGAATTCTCTTCATACGTAAACCGATTTCAATTAGACATATATACATATATCTGTCTATCTTGAAGGCTAGCTATCCATCTATGAATCTATGTGCTTGTGTAATGTTTTCCTTGTTGATTTTTCTCACTCTAAATTAGTGAAACACAGACTCCACATCATACACACATTTGAACTTCCATACTGACTAGTAGTAACAATGTCAAATACTCAAGCACTGTAACCAGCAGTAGGTTCCATTTATCTATCTATCTATCTATCTATCTATCTATCTATCTATATCATCGCCATATTGTTTTCACCCATCTTCAAAAAGAAATGTTTTTTGAACTTTACTATTGACTGCTGGTAACCGTGACAAATACTCAGACGTTGAAGCCAGTAGGAGTTTCTATCTATCTATCTATCTATCTATCTATCTATCTATCTATCTATCTATCTATCTATCTATGTGTTTGTGTGCAAATGCTTTCATTGTTTATGTATACTCTCTAAAACACATATACATCGATACTATATCGTACACACACACACACACAGGCACACACACACACACACACATATATATATATAGCGTGCCGAGAAAGAGGGATACAGATATACAAATATATATATATATATATATATATATATATATATAGATATATAGATATAGATAGATAGATAGATAGATAGATATTTGTGTATATGTATATATATATATATGTATATATAGATATATGTTCATATATCTATCTATCTATCTATATATATATATATATATATATATATATATATATATATATGTATGAAAACCATCTATCGTTTGCTTTGAAGCGAGATTTTTTTCCTTGAGGTGTATGTTTGATCAAGAGCTTCGCGTACTTCGATATCTGGCATGGGGTCGAAATCCTCCTGGCTTTTAATCCAATTATCTACATCAAGTAATCGAACCCTGAAGCTTCAAGAGAAATGGGTGAGGAACTAATTAAATCGACTGGTTGCAAAACTGGCAAATCACATAGAAGCCAAAATAAAATCCAAACCAAATCAAAGAAATGGTTAAAAGGTCTGCAAATCCTTCCTCAGAGAGAAATATTCACCATGATATCCGCTTCTTACGTTTCAACATGCAGTGATCAGATGCTGAATTTTGCTTTCATAAAGAAGCTTTTGTCCCGCGGCTATACATCGCCTGAAGACATCTTGATATCTACCATCGCTACATGAGTGCTCAAACAAAATGCTTTATTAATTTCAAACACGGATGTCGTTTCTAACTAACCTACTTTAAGGAAGCACGCTGAAACCTGCTTTTATATTGATGTCGAGTAAATGATTTGAAATGTTTATGAAACAAACTCATTACATATATGACTATGAAACTAACAAAGGTTGACTATAAAACTAACAGCTTCATATTACCTGGTCAGCTATGGTGCATATAAGATGACTATCCTAATAGCTGCATAGAGTTTAAACAGTTGTTCGTAGGAGGGAATGTGTTTTTTCCTATAAGTGTGTAAAGTGACGTAAAACCATCTTAACTGGATTTCGAATTTATTCAGTTTATTGTGATGATAAGCCGTTCCATTAATCTCCAGGAATTTTTAAGAAAAAATGGAAACTGTTTCAATGATATCTGCTAACCAAAGATTATCACGTGCTATTGAAAAATGTTGTGCACAACTTTTATGCCAAAAGTCTTTATTTTTTTTTTTACTTTTTTTCGAAAATCATTAAGAGTTTCATGATTTTTCTGTTTTTACTAGAAAAAAAATGGCTGGGACTAAAACCGTAGTTTCTCTTCGAGCATCGCACAGTTTTTTTTTTCCATGGTGCAATGCAGAACATTCAGCATTTTTCAGCGTTGTATTATAAAAACAATATCAGATAGGAAACACTGGCATAACAAGATCCAGTTTTGAACGAGGCCATGAACGTTAAACATCAACTGAATGTTTTTTTTTCTTTCCTAATAAAATATATTTGCAATTATGACAACAATTATCTTTGTAAAATCTATGCTGATTTTCTAACCATATTTTACATGTTGCACACAATGAGGATCAATCTCCCTATTCAGTCGTAATTGAGCTGGTGAGACAAGCTTGCTCAGCATTAGACAACATCGAAGTAACTAAATTGTGATTTTCTGAGCGCAACTTAGATATGGCACATGGTCTAAAGTGTGGGAGACAAAAGTGTGGATTAAACTCACTATTCGTAATTAATGTACTTAGACAAGTTTTATAACCATTAAACGATGTCGCAGTATGTTTCTCTAAGCGTAGCTTAATGGGGCACAAGATCGAAAGTATGGTGAACTCTGTGAGGTTCGAACTTACTATTCAGTCATAATTGATCGAGCGAGACAAGCTCGATAACGATTACACTATGTGGCAATGCCAAAAATGATTTTCTTAGCGTAGCTTACATGGGGCACAAGGCTGAATGTGGGAGGACTGAACTCACTACTCAGTCGTAATTTATTGCTAACCATTACACTACGTTGAAGTATTCCTTGTTGCAAAAAATTTATGAACTGTTGAAAATAAATTTCGCCAAACTTAAACAAGAACAAATTACGTGATCTCCTGTTCAAATTTAAGTATAGAAAACAAAGAAAGAAAGGATGAAGGACATTAAAACGTAAATTGTGAATGAGGCAAATTGTAGACGAAACTTTACGAGATAGGAAGTATTCTTCTTTCATGTGCAGTATCCCTCCAGGACGTTGGCGATCATGGCTCTCTACAATTTCCTGTCTTTTGTAACTCTTGAACGTTTTCTTTTTGTTATCTCTCCAAAACCTGTTTCGTCATAAATTTACACAAGCTAGCTAATTAGGTTATGCATTTTTTTTTCTTTGTCCTTCTTGTCTTCAATCTGTCCAATGAGTATCAAATTTTGCAAACCATCTTTACTCATTATGTGCCCTAGAAATTTTAACCTTTTCTTACTGATGTGTATATGGGTATATGTGTCCTTTTTGGTTTCAATTGTCACTAAAACTTCGTTGTTGCTCATCTCGGTCAATGATATACTCAGCATCCTTCTGCATCACAACGTTTCTGTTGCTTTAAGTCACTTCATCATTGCGTAGATTGTCCAGCATACATTAACATACACGAAGACTGATATTACATTCAAGAATGTTTTCTGTTAATACTTTGTTTAGTGTTTGGAAGGCATTTTTCTCTATCCGAATACGCCTTCGAATTTCAGCGTCACACTCCTGTTCTATGTTAAAACACTTCCCACAAATTCAAATTGTTCTACTTGTTTTATTTTGCTATCTCCAGATGAGAAGTATATTTTTTTTATTTTATGTAACATATCCCTTTCAGAACGTTAGCGATCCTGTTCTTTGTATCTCTTAAGAAATTTAGTATCTAAGTTATATCTCCTAAAATTTGCTCTGCCATTCCTTTATTCAAGTCCTCTAGGTAGGTTACACGTTGAAATCCTCTGTTCCTCTTGCCTTCAATCTAGCCTGTGAGTATCACATATTCCAAGCAAGCTTTCCTCATTATGTAACATAGGAATTTCTACTTTCTCTTCCTGATGTTATGGCATATAGCTTTTGGGAAGGTTATACTTTAACGCGTATTTTGATGTGATTTGTACGTGGACTGCGAATTTTAAACGTTTTTTTATGTTAAAGGCAAAAATAAAAGGAAAGAAAGAACCAGTTTTCCATTTTTATTTTTCTTACTAATCAGAACGAAGCAGCATAAGGTTCAAAATAAGAAATTGGTAACTTTAGTCATCACTAACTGTTGATACTTGACTAATGCATGGAATAATAATGCAACACAAAATGTACTTAGAACAAAATGTATTGAAACAAGAAAGTGTACACAATATTTACATATAGTCTTTTGTATATTCCTGGTAAGACCGTTCCTGGAGAATATGTTGACTGAGTCGCAGTCGGGCAGAGTCTCTGGTTGAATCTCTTGATTCCTCCTTCTCTTCCCGGTACCAACCATACTTATATGGTCGGTACTCCACTATGCAAATTAGGTGGATCCTACCAAAACACTAACTAATTATTTAACTTAGCTAACGCATGCTTCCTATAACGTTTCTTTGCACCAAACCATCTCAGTAGCCTTACTTATATATACAGAAGTCATTCTCATGCTACACATTCTTTTTCTCATATATATATATATATATATATATATATATATATATATATATGATGAAAAATATGCAGAAAAACAAAAAAAATTAATATGCAATTATGCTGTATTAATGTTAATAAATTATATAAAAATTCCAGTTATCTGTTTGGATTAGTCGTGCTCTTATGTCCATCGTCTTTTTCATGTTGAATTTGAATATAGTCTCATGTTAATTATGTTTTATGAATATGTCCTGATGATGGTCTAAAATAGACCGAAACATCCGACGTTGACATTATATTAACATTAATACAGCATAATTGCATATTAAGGGTTTTGTTTGTTTTTTCTGTATATTTTTCTCCATACTGTCGGATCTATATCCATATATTTGTGTGTATATATATATATATATATATATATATATATATATATGAATGATTACAAACCTTAAAACTATATTTTTATCATACACATATATACAGAGTGTATCGAAAATAATTTTACAAACTTTAAAACGTATTCTTCACACCAATCAAGGACAAAAATTTATAAAAATATATGTCTGCAAATTCTACGCTTTTTTGAGCCATTAACTTTAAAGAACGTTTACGATAGATGGCGCTGTGTTGTCCTGTAGCCGGAGTTACTTTTGTCATTCGTGTACACTTGTAGCTAGTTTATCTTCAACGTTCTATTTGTAGTGAGTTAACGTGTGTAGGGTCTATCGTCCTCTGAACACTCATCACGGGAGAACTAAGCATCAGCATCCGTTTACGATTATTGTGTCGGCTGGAATATTTGGTGACTGTCTCATAGGCCTATATGTCCTCCCAGCACGTCTTACAGGAGCTGTCTACAGCGAATTTATTTAGAATACACTTGAAGACCTGCTAGAGAATGTCCCCCTGCTAATACGAAGACTGCATGTATAATGGAGCTCAAATATATTTTAAACATATTGTTCCTGATGCATTGGATGACATCTACCATAAATGGTGGATAGGTAATAGGGGGACCGGATCCACAGACTGCAATTTCGCCCGACCTCAGAGATACTTTATTAATGTGTCATGGGGAGTTGCAAAACCATTCGACACCTTGTGTGAGTGTTTTGTCCTTGTATTTGTGTGAGGAAACTGTCTCCAAAATCTGTAAAGTATTTTTAATGCACCCTGCATATAGTGAGAGAGTGAGAGTACAACAGACTACGCCTTCTTAGACTCACGTTTTTCCAACGTTCCCATTGGCTACATGAAATCAATAGCTGCATCTATTGCAAGGAAAGCTGAGTCCATTGAATATTGTTATCCAATTTGGTCTTGCGATCCTGTTGTACATCTCGATATTCTTAACAAAACCTCAAGAAGGATCTTTAATGTAATCGATCTTGATCAGGCATCTTGACTTCAGTCACTTTCTCATCGATGTGACTTGCATTTCCTTTATCTTTTCTAAAAATATTTTCATGGTAACTGCTCTAGCGAAATTTTCTTTTCCTCGGTGCACCGAATACATGAATTTAAGCGTGCTATTAGATTGGCATCTAGATCCATGATTTTAATGTTGAAATAGCTAAATGCAATAGCCACTTTTACTGCAACAGTTTCTTTTCTCCCACTTCACGCCTGTGGAACTCCGTTACGTTTACTGATAACAACAATCTTCAAACATCAATCGTAATCTTGTCTCTTCTTGAATCCCGTTCTTCTCTTGTCCTTGTCTGAGTTTTCTTTTTCACTTTCACTTCCTTTATTTCCCTGTGTATTAGTGGCATACTTGTCTTGCTTTCGGTAAAATAATTAAAAAGAATATATATATATATATATATATATATATATATGATAAGCATATATTATGCTATATTAATGAGTAAACGTACTCAATCATCATCTTGCGGCCTCAGCCTAGATTGAACTCACTAATACTTTGATTGGTGTAGTTCATAATCTTGTCAAATAGCTGAATTCTTGATGCTTCGCTAGAGCTATCAAGGGTGTTTTTATCGTGACACCATCACTAAATGGATTGCCAACCATGGTTCAGAGAGACTCCATTCACTCTCCTCTAAGAGCAGGTTTGAATTCAGAGTTTTCCTTCTCCTAGACCAGTTGCCATCCAAGGCTATAGAACCCAGACAGCTATTTACCCTTAGCTGGAGGGAGAAGAAAGATGATTCACACCATTCACAAGGGTGTTAGCACATGAATTACAGTGAATGTAATGGATTCGACTGGAATTCGAACTCGGCTCTCCGATTCCTCAATCCAAACCGCTATCCATTACTCCACCAGACCTCCTCAATATGTCAAGTTTTGGCTCGATTATTTATATATTCTGGTTAATGGTGCAAATGGTCTATTATAATATCTTAACAGTTACTTAATAAACGGTAACTTTTATGTTTCAAATTATTCTTGAGGTTTTTGAGTAGGAATTGTGGATCTAAATGCTGTTATTCGTAGTTATTTTATGGTGTTCGTTCTGTTCATATAAATATGGTTGGTACCGGGAAGAGAGGGAGAAATCAAGAGATTCAACCAGAGACTCTGCCCGACTGCGACTCAGTCAACACATTCTCCGGGAACGGTCTTACCAGGAATATACAAAAGATTATATGTAAATATTGTGTACACGTTCTTGTTTCAATACATTTTGTTCTAAGTACATTTTGTGTTGCATTATTATTCCATGCATTAGTCAAGTTTCAACACTTTCTTAACTCTCTCTCTCTCTCTCTCTCTCTCTATATATATATATATATATATATATATATATATATATATATATATATATATATATATATCATCAGGGTTAAATTTGAAAAACATTATACGTCATCCAACCTTTTCCAGTGAATACAGTGTTTAATCAGTTAGCAAATAAAGGAAAGGAATAAATTAGCTGGTTTGCTACTTTGGGCATAAAGTTCTCTCATTTTTTTAGATATTTCATAGATGAAACAATTTCAAAAGAGTTCGAATCCATTGAGAACCCATAACACATCTAATCAAATCGACGCCTGTTTTCTTACACGCGTTGCCAGTGTTTTGGATCATATTAAAATGCCTGGCATAAAATTCTCATCAGATATTTTGGCAATAATTTTCCTTTGCTGCTTTCATGAAGAGGGATTCGGTTGCGGTGCAACATATGTTCCGGAAAGAATAAGCATCAAGGCTTTAGTTGTTTCTGTCAAATTAAGGTCTTAGATTCCTTCTTTTTTTTTCCTCGTTCGTCATGGTTCTTTTTAACGTTTGAGTCGCTTCCTTTTATCTTCCAAACAATTGTCTCCCTCATTTTTGTTTTTCCCCTTGATTTCTTTGCATAGTTTCTTACATTTTTTTTCCTTTCTTCATTCACTTCTTTAGATTATCTCTGTTTACTTCGGTTGTTTTTTCCTTTTAATCATTTTCTATAGTTTTCGTTCTTTTTTAAAACATTCTTATTTTTCTCTTTCTTACTCTCCTTCAATGAGCGTGTTTGATTTCTCTTTTCATTTCATCCCGAAAATGTGCCATTTTCTTTATTTATTTTACTTATAACAAAGCAATATTGTTCATATTACTATTTTTCTCCATTCCTTTTTCTTTCTTCATTCCTTTTTCTTTCTTTCTTTCTTTCTTTCTTCTTTCCTCGTAATTTCAATTATTCTTTTTTTTCCTTTTTGAATAAATCTATCTTCCAGTTCCCATAACTTGCTTCCAAATATTTTCTTCTTTCTTTCTTGACAATCGGATAGTTTTTATTTGTTTCATTCACCATCATCCATCTTTCTTTTTCTTTTCACTTTTTCGTTTTTATTATTTATTTTCCTTTCCCTTTTCTTTGATTCTTTTACAATCATATTCTTTTTATTTTTTATTTACAATGTATTTCTCTTTCTTTTATTCGGTTTTAAACGCCTTTGTTTTCTTTCTTTCTTTCTTTCTTTCTTTCTTTCTTTCTTTCTTTCTTTCTTTCTTTCTTTCTTTATTTCTTTGACTATCGTAAATTCACCCGCTCTTCTTGCTGCTGTTTATTACTTTCTTTTCATTTTTTCCTGTACCTTCTTGTCTTTATATTTTTTTTCCTTTTATTCTTTGATTCCGTTTACCATCATCTTCTCATTCTCCTTCTTTTATTGTGCCATCATGTTTTTCTTTATTATCTATATTATTTTAGTCTTGTATTCCTGATCATTATTTACTTCTACCATTCAATTCTTTTTTCTACACCTGTATTTTCTTTCAGTCTTATTTTCTTTTGTGTTTCGCTTTTTCCTCTTCTATTTTTCATTCCTCGTACCTTTTTCTCTTTCTCCCTCTTCGATTTATTTCCCCACTTTATAATTCTTCCGTTATAAATATTCTATAACACTTTATAATCATCCACATTTTTAGTACCGTTTTCCTTTGATCGCTTTTTTAAAAAAAGTTTATCTATTCATTTCATTTTTTCAAAGAATGAAGAAGGGAACGAATATAAGTAAATAACAAATATTTTGAAAACAAATATGTTTTCTTCAGACACACCCAGGGTTCATTTCTTTGAAGGAAAAAAAGAAAGAATGAAATGTTCTTATAAAAGAAACTATTAATTAATAAAACATGTGTACGAATTCCACGCGCAAACGGAATATTTTCATGAATTTCTCTTTGTCTGATGTCTTCAAAAAATGCATAGGCACGAAGGAGAATATGTTTTGTTAATATCCTCCAATGTACGTGCACGTCTTTACGTAAGAGCGTGTACATCTTCTTCAATACGAGACAATGTTATATCGTTATATGTTTGCGCACGCTCGCAAACATATAACGATATATTTGTATACATCTATGTAATTATACGTAGATATATTATTTTGTGTCTTTCAACTGTCTACAGAACTCATTCTCTCCCTTTTTTCATATATATATATATATATATATATATATATATATATATATATTGGAAAAAACAAACAAAAATCCTTAAATGCAATTATGTTGTTTAAAATGAATGAAATGTCGACAGATAACTGAAAATTTTTAAAATGATCAGCTTTCCGTTTAGCATGGTCACGTTGTCGTCACATGGGCGACGCTTTCAAAACGGAAAGCTGATCATTTTAAAAATTTTCAGTTATCTGTTTTGGATAAGACTTGTTTTTATGTCCATCGACTTTGTCAAATTGAACTGAATTGTATTTTAATGAATATTGTCCTGAAGAAGGTTTATTAAACTGAAACGTCAGACGTCGACATTTCATTCATTTTAAACAACATAATTGCATTTAAGGATTTTTGTTTGTTTTTTCCAAATTTTTCTTAATTCTGTCGGATCTATATCCATTTACATTTGCTTACATATATATATGCATATATATATATATATATATATATATATATATATATATATGTGTGTGTGTATATATATATATATATATGTGTGTGTGTGTGTGTGTGTGTGTGTGTGTGTGTGTGTGTGTGTGTGTAGTGACACAGAGATAACAAATTCAATTTATTGTTTAAATCTGATGAATTGTCATTTTAAGTTAGAATTTTTAAGAACTTGATATACGTAAAGTTTACGCAATGCTTAACATTCTATTCCTCATAAAAACTAAGCTGGCCGTGCGTCTCGAAAAGGATCTCCAATCGGTTGTGAACTAGGGCAGGAATTGGCTGGTCAACTTTAATGCTTCAAAAAAAAACTGCTCTCTATTAATCACCACAGAGATCCTTCCCTGCCCTCAATTAGAATGTCTGACGCTCAACTCTCTGAGGCTGCTCGGTCTCACGTTGACTGCTGACCTGAGATGGAACAAATACATTGAGTCAATTGCTTCGTCCAACGCAAGGAAAGTTGGCTCCCTGTGACGCGCCAGGAAATTTTTCTCCCCGGAATCGATCCTCCAGATCTACAAATCAACAATTCGCCCTTGCATAGAGTATTGCTGCCATATATGGTCTCGAGCCCCTTCTGTTTGTCTCGGGGTACTTGATAGGCTCAAGAGGGGGATATGCAATTATTTGGCTCTGCTCTGGCATCTCGTCTACAGTCACTTTCTCACAGACGCGCCGTCGCCTCCCTCTCTGTCTGTTTTACAAATACATTCATGACAATTGCTCCGAGGAGCTGCATTTGCTGGTTCCCAGACTTTATGAGTTCAAGCGCCCTACGAGGCTGGCATCCCGCTCTCATCCTTTCACTGTCGAAACTCCTAAATGTAGCCGTCTCTTCTACTCCAATAGCTTCATGTCTCGCACCTCTCGCCTGTGGAACTCCTTCCCTATTCCAGTTTCCCTGAGGCTATAATCTCCAACTATTCAAATGTAATGTCAATCGACATCTCCAGTTGCCTTGATCTATCCACTACCCTTCTCCTCATCCTTTCTTCTATCACTCCTATCTGATCTTGCTCGAAATTTTCTGTAACCCCTTGCGTCCTAGTGGCTTCCCGCCTTGCTTGGGGTGAAACGCTTAAAAAAAAAGATAAATACACACACGCATTTGATACCCATAGCTGATTAGATGTTCCGTTTATTTATCAAACACTAATTTATGTTCGTCTATCGGCCTCAATATTCAAAAACCTTATTAGCAAATTGCGCCTTCCGACAGGATCGAACAACAAGGCTAACAAATGCGTGTCGGTCACGATGACTTTTTTTACTAGCACAACCACCAACGGCTTCAAGGGGTCCCATCTAGCCAATTTTACTGGCAAGTCTTGCGTCAACCCAGGTATTGTTATCAGTCAAGGTGAATAAAAGACGGGAAATTGTTTATAGCCTCAAAACCCATATCCTGAACGGGTACTTTTTTTTTTTTTTTAAGCAAGATCAGATAGGGGTTACAAAAATTTAGATAAGATCAGAAAGATAGAAGATGAAGGTAGTTCATAGATTAAGGCAACTGGAGATGTCGATTGACATTACACTTGAATAGCTGGAGATTATAGCTCACAGGGAAACAGGAGAGGGGAAGGGAGTTCCACAGGGGGAGGTGCGAGACGTGAAGCTATTGGAGTAGAAGAGACGGCTACATTTAAGAGTTTTGACAGTGAAAGGGTGGGAGCGGGATGCCAGCCTCGTAAGGCGCTGGAACTCATGACGTCTGGGAACCAGCGAATGCAGCTCCTCGGAGCAATTACCATGGAAGTATTTGTAGAACAGACAGAGGGAGGCGACGGCGCGTCTGTGAGAAAGGACCCATCGTTTTCATTACAAAGTTTTCTTGCGCTATATTATGTGAAGGACGACCATAGCAACGACAGCCTCGTTTGTTTCGGATACCTTGCGTAACTTATTGGTAGTAAGTTTATCTTACAGATTGTTTTGCTAATAACGGTAATTAGATTTATATTGGCGCTTTACTTCCATCCTTATGTTTCATTAATATGGGTTTCGAAATAAAACAAGAAAACAAGAAAACTTTGCAGAACATTGACGATGCATTACTTTAAAGTCCTGGAGTCGTTACACTTGTATCTTGCTGCAAAAATAAAAGACCAATGGCTGATGCGTATATTTTTCGAAAATTATTAAATACAACACATGAGTGATTTTGGAATGTAAATAAAATTGTGAATAATAGCAATTTTTATATTAAAGAGACTTGATTTTATTAGTCACTTATTAATAATTATTTATTTATAATTTGTTTGTATGAATTAAAAATGTAGGAAAAATATATATATATATATATATATATATATATATGCATGTGTGCTCGTGTGTTTGTGTAAGTGCGTGTATGTTTGTGTGTGTGTGTTAGTGGTTGGGTGTTACGTTACGAGAAGGAGATTTTTCAGAAAGTCCTTGAAACCACTGCACCGGGAAATGAAGGACTTTAATCCCTTCTCAACTGTTTTTTTTCTTTCAAGTTGAATTTCGACGTCCTGCTGTTTTTACCATTTTTTGAAATGAAGAAATCCGTGATTTGAATTTCAAAACTGATCAGTGAGAACCGTGGCAAATGTTAAAATACAGCAGCCAGCGGGAGATCATATCTATCTATCTATCTATCTATCTATCTATCTATCTATCTATCTATCTATCTATCTATGTCATATATTGTCGCCATATTTATTTAGCCAGTCTTCATGATGAAGAAATTTGTTCTTTGAAGCTTAGTACAGACTTGTGTCAAGCATGGAAATACAAAAAAAACACAACCAGCCTTTTTCATCTCCATGCTCATCAACAACTTTTCAATTTCGATATATATATATATATATATATATATATATATATATATATATATATATATTTTTCAGATATCGTGAGTCTTTTCAGGGGAGAGATATGCTAATTTCAAATAAGTACAAATCTCTAATCCCCTTCAAAATAAAATCCTTTGACTTCGATGCACTTGTAGTTTTCCAGCCACTTTGTAAAGGCCTCACATATAAAAAAAAAAAAAGAAAGAAAGAAGCAGATGTGTACCAACAGAAAAGGAGCACCGAGTTGAAAGCTGAGACAGAATACCTAATTGCAGCTCAGAATCAAAGTCTCGTAACCAGATTTTATCATTGTCACATAATCAAGGATAAAGTTAGCGCGAAATGCAGGATCTGTGGAAAACATGATGAAACTGTCGACCATATTATCTCAGGATGTTCAGAAATGGAAAAAAAAGGAATATATCCGCAAGCATAACAAGATATCGATATATGGGAACTGGAGGATAGGCAAGAAACACAAAATTGCAACCACAAAGAGATGGTATGAGCACCAACCAGACACAATTACGCATGGACTTCCAGGAATCCCTTCAATTAGTCTACTGGAATCTTTTCCAACCAATCCTAGGTCTCCAACTACAACAGGGATTATTGCTGTTCCCATATGCCACATTTTTAAGATTTCTATTCCAATTTAAACTAACATGGAAATAAAAGCCAATTTGATGAAGTGTATATTTATTGACTTAATAGTACCATATGAGAGAAACACCTGTATTATGATTATCGAGAAATTGTCCACGTACAAGGACCTGGGAATCGAGGTTAACAGCATTTGGGGAATGAAGACTAGACTGTGCCAGTAGTAATCGGATCTATGGGTCACGTGAGAAAATGAATAGACAATTTTACTAAAAAGTATGCCAGCTAACATCAACATACAAGGTACAGTGAATATCAATTAAATGACAATTCTTCTATAGAAACTAAGGACCATAGATTGGACCCGGCTCTACAGGAACAAAAGAGCGGAAAACATAACATACACAGATAATAATAATAATAATAATAATAATAATAATAATAATAATAATAATAATAAATAAAACCTAACCTCAATCCAAACATGCTTGCCAATGTCCGTAGGGACATCATGCGAAACAACAGACTCTCAAAGGCAGAAATAGATAAGATAAAATTAGATATAAGACAAAATACTATGACCCATCACTCAAACTCTATTGAGACGAATGTAGAAATAAGGAATGCAACAGAGTATGGGGTGGACGCTGGAGAGAATGAAATACGAAATAATCTCCCGGGAAATGAAACCCAAGACACTACTTTAAACACAACCTACAGTCCTCCAGAAAATGTACCTGGAGTCATCTTCAGTGACAATAAGTTAGAATTCCTTGAAAACCACGAAGCTGAAATCACTGAAGCGAAAAATGACGTCATCCAAGTACTCAGCAGAGTAAAATTCACACAATTGTCAGACAGAGACCAGCTCTCGAAAATCCATATGACGAACTCCAACAGGCACATCGTGAAAATATACAATGCTGCTCTGGAAACACTGTTAACAGATAAACCACCGGGAAACATCACAGAAGTTAACAACATCATATACGCCACAGCTTTAGCAGCGACTCGGAAGCTTGGAGTCAAGACAATAAATAAAATTAACAGACACAGAGAACCAGCTTGGAAAACCAAACTGATTCGAGAAATACAACAAATCAGATGTGAGCTTTCTATATTAGATGAGCTCACCAGAATCCCTAATATTTCCACACGTAAATTCAAAAAGATCAAGCGGAAATATAACATTAAATCCCTAATTGATATTCCATCAATCAAGGAAATGCTGAAGCAGAAACTTCAGCTAAAGGCGCAGAGAACAAGACCATACGAAAAACGTTGTAGGTTCTATCGCCAAAATAAAATATTCCGAACAGATCTTAAGAAATTTTACAGTGAAATTGGAAAAACACCTATACATGTCGAAAGGCCACCATCGATTGATAATGTACAGACATTCTGGGAAAATATCTGGAGCATCCCAAAGGAGTATAACCCAAATGAATAGTGGATACGGCATGAAGAAGAACGAATGCTGTATACACCTCTGCAAGAATGGGAAAATATATCCACAGATGAAGTTAGGCAAGCTCTAACGAAATCCCAAAAATGGAAATCACCAGGAAGTGACAAGTTGTCCAATTTCTGGCTGTATCATCTCACATCTACCCATGAAATTCTTGCAAAAACATTATCAACGCTTGTAAATAATCCCTACAAAACCCCGGAATGGATTACTGAAGGTATGACATACCTCGTACCAAAAACACCGGAAACAGACGACCCGAAAAATTATAGACCGATAACATGTCTCTCCACAACGTATAAGTTGATCACGTCTGTATTGACGAACCGTACTTATTCCTTTCTCGAAACAAGCAGCACTCTCCCGCTGGAACAGAAGGGATGCAGAAGAGGTTCATATGGCTGCAAGGATCAACCTCTGATAAATAAAATGATCCTGGAAAATTGCAGGAGACGACGCAGGAATCTAAGTGCAGCGTGGATTGATTATCGTAAAGCCTTTGATAGTGTTCCACATTATTGGATCCTTAAGACTTTGGAAATGTACAAAGTCTCCCCTGTGGTATTAAATTTCCTTAAGCACAACATGGGAATGTGGAACACCAAACTATACCTTAGTCACACCGGGGGCACTGCCATATCCAACCGTCTGAGTATCCGACGTGGAATCTTTCAAGGAGATTCTCTGTCACCCTTCTGTTTTGTTTATCCTTAATCCCTCTTACACATGAACTGAACAACAGTAGCTATGGTTACAAAATAAATAAGAAAATATTCAATCACCTACTCTACATGGATGATCTCAAACTCTTTGCCAAAGACGACAATGAGTTGAAAGGCCTCCTCAATATTGTAAAATACTTCAGTGACGACATAGGTATGGACTTCGGATTAGATAAATGTGCAAAAGTAACTTTCAAGAAAGGTAGAATTACAGAAACACCCTTAATAGATTTAGATTTTGTCACAAAGATTAGGAAACTGGAGCATGGTGAAGCTTATAAGTACCTAGGAATTAGCGAAGGTGATGGCATACAACACCCCCAAATGAAGGAAAAAATAAGAAAAGAATACTACAGGCGTGTACGTCTGGTACTAAATACTGAGCTGAACTCAAAAAACAGGATATCAGCCATAAACACATTGGCTGTCCCTGTGGTGCAATACAGCTTTAATGTCCTTAACTGGACCGTAGCTGAAATTAAGCGAATGGATGCCAAAACGAGAAAGCTACTCACTTGCTATCGCATGCATCATCCCAAAGCTGATGTCGATCGTCTGTATGTGCCCAGATCCGAAGGAGGCAGATGATTAGTCCAACTAGAACTGTCCTACAAAACTACAACAATTGGCCTCCAAAGATATTTGGAAACTACAGAAGACTGGATGATGGTATGCGTCAAGGAACATGAAAGTAGTAAGCGTCTCTACTCCGTAATGAAAGAAGCCAAGAAATTCAAAATGGAGTTCCAAATGGGCGTAGAGATGCAACTATAGCACAATACACCGGCTGAAACTGCAAAATACCTAAAAAAGATAGCTAAGACGAATACAACCGACCAGTTACAGAAGCGATGGCAAGATAAACCGCTTCATGGCCAATACTCTGCCCGTACCAAACAAGCTGACGTAGACAAAATCCGTACGCATCAGTGGCTACGTAGTGCAGGGTTGAAAGCTGAAACTGAAGGTTTCATCCTTGCTGCACAGGACCAATGCTTGCTAACTAGGAATTATCAAGCACATGTACTAAAATATTATGCAGATTCTGTGATAAATATCCAGAAACGATTGATAATCTTGTATCAGGTTGCACGAAATTGGCACCCACTGAATATAAAACCCGAGAGGTTCAATATCTGCACTGGAAAATCTGCAACTTCTACGGGAAGGAAACTGAAAGAAAATGGCATGAACACCACCCAGACCCGGTTACGGAGATAGGAGCTGTTACATTTCTATGGGACTACACAATACACACTGACAGAACAATCAAAGCCAACCGCCCAGACATTGTTATTAAAGACCACAAACAAAAACAAAATGCCTCCTTATTGATATGACAGTCCCTGCTGACTGCAATGTATCTTTGAAAATATTCAAAAAGCTGTCAAATTACAAGGACCTTGAAATAGAAATCTCAAAAATGTGGCATATGGGAACATCAATAACCCCTGTTGTAGTTGGAGCCCTAGGATTGGTTGGAAAAGATTCCAGTAGACTAATTGAAGGGATTCCTGAAAGTCCATGCCTCAAAGAGATACAAAACAAAATTTCTGATAAGTACAACCCACACTTTACGAAGGGCTTCATCTATGTATTTTTTTTTCATTGGAAAGTGTCATGATGCCATTTCTAACCTTAGGTCCCTGGGGGAGGGACCCGGAAAGAAATCTGTAAACGCCAGAAATCAAAGAAAATAATAATAATAATAATAATAATAATAATAATAATAATAAAGACTTCTATTGATAATTTTCTATTACTCGTGACCATAGTGATCAAAGTCAAAGTAACTGAAATGATCAAGAAATATACAGATCAGCAGGTAGACACAATGTGGCACCTTCAGGCCACTATTGTACCAATTATCTTTGGTGTGTTGGGGTCTATTCCATTGAACTTGCATTAAGAACATCGGAATAAAATTTAGTATCCGATCGATCCACAAGAAATAGTCTGCAAGACATAGTCTACAATCTCTTGAGATCTCCAGCTGAAAAAGAAAAACTGCGCAGAACTGAATAGTTCGTAATAATAATAATTGTGAATATGGTATGAATACTATATTGAAATGGACAAAAATGTCATGAG